GGGGGGCACACAAAAGCGGAAGGCCCCCCTACCACAAAAAAAAAAAAAAAAAAAAAAAAAAGATGCCCTTGGCTCCCATAGCAGCCTCACTGCCCTGGCTCCCTACCTACTCCGTGCCCCATCCAGGACCCCGTCACTTCAGCCTGCCCAAGCGTCCTCAATACCTGACTTACTCACAGCCCTACCCCCTGCCACCACCTTCTCCAGCTGCCCCCTCCGTCCCTCTGCCCTCCTTCACACCTCCACCCCTAGTTGCAGAATCACTAGTTCTCTGGTCTCCCTGCCTTGGCTGCCCCTCCAATGGTCCTCTTTCCCCCTCCTGGCTCTCTTTTCCCCATCTTTTTCTCGGCTCCTGGCTCCTCCTGTGGCTCTCCCTGCCCCAGCGGCAGCTTGTGGCGCGAGCCCTCCCTCAGGAGGTGACTAAGCCATTACCCTGCGCATCACCTCCTCTGTCACAGTATCTTGGGCAAGTGTCTCCTTGCCTCTCCCTTCTCTCCTCCACTCTCATCATCTCCCATCTCCAGTCCTTCATCTCAACCCATCCAAAGCCAAACTTCTGGTTTAATCTTTTAAAAAGGTCCCTTTCCCCTAACTGCAGATCACTGTGAATAATTTAGAAAGACCATAAATGTATGAAGAAGCTGAGAAAAAAAGTATTCTTAGTCCTGTGCCCAGTCTCTCTCTAATATGGTACATCTCTTTCCGATCATTGTAAAAAAAAAAAAAATCACTGGTAGTTTTTCTCATACTATGAAGGTAATACGGTTTTATCACCAAAATACATAAAGACACAAAGAAGAAAAAAAAAACATCATTCCGTGGACCCTGAGTTAACTACCATGAAAATGTTGGAGTGTAGCTTTTCTTTTTCCTGTTCACACATGTATACACACATTTATGAAATTGAAACCGTACAGAAAAACTGTTTATATAATCACAGTAAACTCGGGCTACAAATATTGTCACATCTCCTTTATGTTTCTAACCACTTTTTAGAACCCCTTCCTCCCCATTCATTCAAAGTCCAGCCAACATCCCCCCTTAAATTATCTGAGTCCACAGAAAGAATTCCTGGTTCCAAATGCCTGGTGAAGGGGGAACTGTCTTTATTTGTCTTCTCACACCCCTAGCCAATGGCCCATTTATTTCAAGAAACATTCAATACAAAACAGAGACATTTCCCCTGTCTTTGGAATTCACTAACAACATCTGGCTTGTATTGCCATATATTGAATATCTCCTGCCAAATCATTCATGACTGTGCACATTTTCCAAGAGAGTTATCTGTCCATGGTTGCTATTCCTCCTCTTGGCCATATGGCAGCACTATTGAACGCTGAACCTGCACAGTCCATTCCAGTTCTGCCCTTAACTGGCCCGGGCCCCTGCACAGACCACCGTGGGCCTCAGCCCCAGGCCCCACGATGATCATTTTCTTAGTTCCCGGACAATGTTTGTCCTAGAGCAACACACCAGCCAGAGAGGCTGGATCACAGACTGTCAGAGCCAGCCCTTTCTTCCCAAGCCACGAGGTCTCCAGCCTGAATGTGTCCTGCTCCCATGAATTCCTCTTTGGGATCTCTTCCTGTCGGTGGGCTTTGATTAAGGCCTGCTGGGTTCACCCAAACACAACCCCACCGTTTCAAGTTTCACGGAGCAGGGGGTGGGGGACTGGGTCTGTGCAGAAAAGAGTTCGCACAGTAGGCCTGAGACTGCTGTCCTTGGAAAGGCCCACTGGCAAGGCTGGCCTTGGCTGGCATCTGGGAACTTGACTGGTAAACAGTGTTCTATAGTCATATGAACCTTTCCCTAAGTGATAAAGGGGGCTCACAGACGGTTTGTGCAAACCACGCGGTTGATGCTGTGCACCGGCTCTCCTTCTGGGAGTCTGGAATTTTGGTGCATGCTGCAGCGTGTCTCTGTGACCAGACCCCGATAAAAACCTGGGCCCCGAGGTTCAGGTGCGTTTCCCTGGTAGACAGCACCTCACACATGTTGTTACAACTCGTTGCTGCAGGAATTAAGCATGTCCCGTGTGACCCACAGAGAGAGACTCTTGCAAGCAGTGCCTAGTTTCCTCTGGACGTCACCCCATGTACCCTTCCCTTTGCTGATTTTGCTTTGCATCCTTTGGCTGTAATAAATCTTAGCCCTGAGCACGACTATATTCAGAGTCCTGAGAGTCCTGGAGAATCACCAATCCTGGGGGTGGCCTTGGGGACCCCTGACACAGAGTCCTTTGCCTCCCAGCAGGCTTGGGGTCTTCATGCAAAGTGGTCTCTGCATATCAGGAAGAATTGTCCCAGGCCTGCCCTGGTCAGGCCAAAACTCCCCCAACTGGGCACCATAATTTCATATAACAGTGCAAGGCCTTTCTATGAAATCACTGTCTTACTAATAACATGGCACCATAATTTCATATAACAGTGCAAGGCCTTTCTATGAAATCACTGTCTTACTAATAACATGGCACCATAATTTCATATAACAGTGCAAGGCCTTTCTATGAAATCACTGTCTTACTAATAACATTTGTTTCAAGAGGACTTTCCACCCCTGCTTATCCTGAAAAGCTGTGGACACATTTCTTACTGAAAGTATTTTATCTCTGCCACAGCACGCACCCTTTGCTTTGGTACCCCGATTGTTCCCATCATATTGTCAGTTATTACCCTGCTCTGTTCTCATCATATTCTGCAGTTATCTCCCGTCAGTGTGATCAGAGTTGCTTGGGCCCCACTGTTGGGAGTGCTCAAATTTGTTTTAACTGCCCCCTTTAGGTGGACACAGACTGTTGCCGGTGTGTTTGTCGTCTGTCCACTATAACACGTGACAAACCTTTTTCATGCATAAGTCTGGCCACAGCTCAGATTATTTCCTTAAGGGAGACCCCTCAGGATAGAATTGCTGGGTCAAACAGTGGGAACTTTTAAAAAGTTCTTGAAAGATCTTGCTAGATTTTGTGGCGCCTCTTTGGCCGGTAGAGAATGAGAAAATTACCTGTTTGCAGCTCTGCCCTCAGAGCCGCCTGTTTCCATCGGCCACTGTGGGATCGAGGGGGAGTTTTCCCAGGGTTGCCGGCGAGGGTGTCCTTCCTGCTTTGGGGGTGGAGGGGAAGTCCTTTTGCCCCTCTGAGCTGGGTGAGAGTCATAGGACAAGGTTCTCAGGTTCTCAAGGTTCTCAGACAAGCCCAGGGTTGATGTTGAACTCAATCACAGCTTCAGCCGACACCTCAGTGACCTCTGGCCCTCTCCCCCTCTCTCCCGCTGATCTGAGGATGCCGTGGATGGATCTATCGTTCGGAATTTTGAGCCAGGGCCCGGAGCTCCTGTTTTAGAATGCAGCGTCACGGCTGACAGCAGAAGGTGACTTTGCCCTCATTTTACTCATGGTCAGGAAAGTGAGAGGGAAGAGTAGGCCAGCACACAGCACGCCCGGGACAGTTCACTGTCTTTTAAGCAAATACCCAAACTTACTCCCATATATCGGTCTCATGGTTCCCATCTTTTGCTGTGAGAATCAAGCAGATGTGATAACTCTTTGACAATTTAAAATGCTAAAAAGACAAAATTTATTGTGGCTAAAGCCAGTCTGAAGGTTCTTCACGGAGTTTATTTCCTGCAGTCACACCAGTGGACTGGGTCAGCTACGAGGCTCACTAGCGATTCAGTCCAGGACCTCATTTCACAGGGGAGACCGAGACCCAGGAAGCAGAGGCAAGCCCAAGCTGTCACCTGGGGAGCGTCGGGGCTGGGAGGCAGCCTCTGGGATGCACCTGCATTTACCCCTCACACAGATGTGAGACGGGCCTTTAAAAGGGGATTTGCTTTAAAGTGGATTCACTTTTATCCTGAGCAGCAGCTACAAAATTAGTCTACTAGTGAAAACTAGTGTGGGAATTTAAGTTTCGTGGGAATTTATCTTACATAGAGGACAGAGATTGTCACAGAAACATGCAATATAAGAAGACAAGGGTACACTTATATTATTTTACTAAATGTACAAGAAAGCATTTCAGAATGAGATGAGCTATGAAAGTCTTTTCCTATAAAAATATAGACAAGTGACCAGAGAAAGAAGTGACTGATCCTTGTGAGTTGTAGCTCCTTCTAGAAGAAGACAATTACAGAACAGAAGAAATGATACCTTTAATGCCCCAGATATAAAAGAACATATTTGTGTGACTGAAGGATTAAGGAAGAGAATGGTGCTGTGGTGCCTTCTGTGTTAGGGGCTCTCTGTTTTCACTGAGAACCTCTGTTCTCTGGGGGAGGGCTCGTGGAACATCTTTAGGAAGATTCAGGTTTTATTTGCAATCTTGGTCCTAAACTATAGAAATTTTCTGTAAAAATGTCCTATTTTTTTTTCATAGAAACCACAGGCATAATAATCTGGGTCATCAAGACCCTATGTTTGTCATTTTATTTCCAGAATTATTGCAGCATCTTATGACAAAACAGTGAGGGCTTGGGACCTTGAAACAGGCAAGCTGCTGGTACGTATGCTTTGCCCTAGTGGAGACATCACAGCACAGGGTCTTTTTGTAAAAGTAACTTTTATGGGAGTATAGTTGCTTTACAATGTTGTGCTGGTTTCTACTGTACAGCAAAATGAGTCAGTTATACATACACATATATCCCCTCGTTTTTGGATTTCCTTCCCATCGAGGTCACCGTGGCGCACTGAGCAGAGTTCACAGCACAGGATCTTGACTGGGCCTTAAGTGGCCTTGAGCTGGGCATGGAGTGTGAAGGGTAGCCAGTCTTTCAGGAAAAGAAAATTTTCTCAGGTACCCAAAATGATGGAGGGTGGGCTTCAGGGAAGGGAAGCTTTCTGAAGCAGACAGAAGAGGGCTCTCTTTGAGGGATGGGGAGGATGTGGAAGAAGGGAAGTGGAGGTGGGGGTGGGAGGTGGCATTCCAGGCGGAGGGAACTGCATGGGAAAAGAGACCCTCCCCTAGGGATGTCTGCTTTTGATGGGGCAAGAAGCAGAGCTGAGGCCTTGGGACAAAGGCCATGCACATGGCCAAAGCACGAGGCTTCTGAGCCCTTCCCAATCTGTCCTCCATCTAAGAAGTTACCACCATCCATCCATCCAAACTGGCCCGAGATCCCCCTCTCTCTCCTGCCTGGTACCCAGGCAGCCCTGAGCCTGCTCCAGGGGTTCCTCAGGGTCTCCTGTCCCATCCCCATCGCCCTTCCCCCAGCAGCTTCTCATCACCTCTCCTCTCCCTTCCTCCTCTTTTCTCTCCTTAAAAAAAGAATCTTCCTTCCTGGTGTGAAGATCAATTTATACTCATTGTAAACAATGTTTGGAAAGACAAGATAAGCCAAGTTCAAAAAAACAAACACAGAAATCTTAAAACAACTCCCAGAGATTACAATTAACACCTTGGTGTCTCTTTTCCTATACACATGTTAAATGTGAACACGGGCAAGTATATTCTGTTGGCAACATAGTGTCATTATATACTAGCAGATATAGGAGCATCAGTTACTCCGGACTTTGAGCATTTCCCCAAATGCTTATTTCTAATTTATTTATTTGGCTGCACCGGGTTTTATTTGCGGCATGTGGGATCTTCATTGCTGCATGTGGCAACAAAGTTGCCACATGTAGGATCTAGTTCCCTGACCAGGGATCGAACCCCAGCCCCCTGGGCCCCCTGCATTTGGAGTACTGGACCACCAAGGAAGTCCCTACATTGTTTTTAAATAAGTCCATTTGTATCATTTTTTTAGATTCCACGTATAAGTGGTATCATGTGATATTTGTCTTTCTCTGTCTGACTTACTTCACTGAGTACAATAATTTCTAGGTCCAACCATGTTGCTGCAAATGGCCATAATTCATTCTTTCTTAGGGCTGACTAATATTCCATTGTATATTTATACCACATCTTCTTTATCCATTCATCTGTTAATGGACATTTAGGTTGCTTCCATGTCCTGGCTGTTGTAAATAGTTCTGCTATGAACACTGGGGTGCATGTATCTTTTTGAATTAGAGTTTTCAACTTTTCCAGATATATGCCCAGGAGTGGGATGGCTGGATCATATGGTAACTCTATTTTTAGTTTTTTAAGGAGCCTCCATACTGTTCTCCACAGTGGCTGCACCAATTTACATTCCCACCAACAGTGTAAGAGGGTTCCCTTTTCTCCACACTCTTT